TAGGTAGTTTGTTGTATACCTATCTAAGTGCAAGTGTAGTATGATGATTTTACATAAAAGGTGGACGTGTGAATGGAAAGTATAGGTATAGTTACTGATGGATTTCACTGCCTTCAGCGTGTTTTTTGAATTTCTCCCAATTTTTTTGTACACATAGGGAACATTTCAGTACACAGGGTGTCATTGAAATTGTGTAAGAAAAATTGGGGTGAGATAGTAATCATGAGACTGGTGAAAAAAGTTGCTATAAGTACGTATGCATATAAAGGGGTTACTTGAATTGTTCAAATTTTGATTTTTTAATTATTCAAAAAATAAATTAAACAACTACCTACTGTATTAGTTTATATCTGATTATTCTGTGAACAACCCATCAAAAAATAATTTAATTTGTATGTTTTTAAAATACTTGTTCAGCAAACTCTTTGCCTCTAATTTTCTTGGAAACCGTGGCTCTAAAGCGCCTTGGAACAAAAGTACTTTTTGCATGGGAAAAAGTGCGTTATTTTTGAAAATAACACATGTTGAAAAAAAAAAAAAAAAACCTCAAATAAGTTGATCATAAAACTGATAAAACAACCCTATGGCCCCTATACCCTTGCAAAACACATTATTTTTTGACATCACTATTTGATTACACCTTTGTTTAAACATTTATTATACCAGAACAACATGGTTTTATGAAGGGCAAGTCAACCACTTCAAATTTGTTGGAGTTTGAGCGCGTCCTGTTGGATGCCTTGCAGGGGGGTATCAGGTGGACGTCATCTATACCGATTTCTCCAAGGCCTTCGACAGAGTCAATCATAATATCCTTTCAAAGAAATTGTCAGCACTAGGCTTTCATGGGACATTTTTTAAATGGCTTATCGACTATCTTCCATATAGAAAACAAAGGGTTAAAAATGAAAACTATCTGTCTGATGTAATTGAGGTTACATCAGGAGTCCCTCAGGGCGGGCATTTGTCTCCTCTCTTGTTCAATTTATTCTTGAATGATGTTAAACAAAACTTTGTAAGTTGTAAAATTTTAAACTTTGCAGATGACATGAAATTTTTTATTGTAGTTCAAGGTTTGCAGGGTTGTGATACGCTGCAGAACAAGCTGAATGGGTTTTTTGAATGGTGCGAATCAAATAATCTTTATTTAAATATCGAGAAGTGTAAAATAATGTCCTTAGTCGTCTGAAAAATGCTTTCATTTTCACCTATTCCGTCAATAATGTTGCTCTAGAAAGAGTGTATATTATTAGAGATCTAGGGGTGTTCTTAGATGTAGAATTAAATTTTCATGAGCATATAGATAGGATTACTAATAAAGCCATGAGGCTATTGGGTTTTGTATTGCGCAATTTAAAAGATTGTAATAATATTTTTACACTGAGAAATGCATATTCTGCAATTGTTAGGCAAGTACTAGAATACTCCAGTCCAGTTTGGTCTCCCTTTTACGAAAATCAAAAGTATGCAATAGAGCGAGTTCAAAGAAATGTTTTAAGACAAATCACATTTAGAATGAATATCAATTATGACTCTATTGACTACACTGAGAAAAACGCGTTAACTAAGCACGTGGGTTGAATTTTTATAGTAGTCATTACTTGAAAAATAGTTATTACGGCCACTCTGTTTTTGTTATTGAAGCCATTTCAAATTAGTTGTACCTTGGAAATCATCTTAACTGACATAATCAGTTCCAAGTACTAAAAATTGTTGTTAAAACATAGCTAACTATAATTTTGGTTGTTACAACATGTTGTGATTAGTAATTAAGCTGGTTAAATAAAAAATAACCAAAATATGTACCTATTAATACTAAGAAACCAGTTGCAGCAACCTAGTTCTCACAACTATTATTTCTTAGTTAATTGTACGGACCAATAGAATGCAGCGCTCATTTCCCCACCAGTGCCGATCTTGTTTTTGTCTCCGTACTTGGCCACGAGTCGCCTGCGTGTATTCAGTCAGTCTCCTCCAACGGTCAGTTGATGCGCAGAATTCGATTGTCGATTTCGGAGTTCGGGAAAACGCAGAAAACGTCGTGTTTGGTGATGTGCGCGTGTACTGTGAATTCAGTGTATTGACCAAAAAAATAATAATTGACAATAGAAACCACTTGTCACATGTTTATAGTTGACTAGTTAGTATAAGAAACTGATTTATGAAGTTGAATCGCGAGTTTATATCAACATTATACATGTTTTTTTCTCTTAGAAAATTGTTTACGTTAAGAATTTATTTTGTGTTTATCCTCATACTCACATTTACTATATTTTGGAATAAAAATAATTATTAAAAACAATATGTTTGTATTTTTATATTTCTATTGATTTTACTTAAAAATATGGAAATTCATCAATTTGTAACTACCACAATAACCTTAAGATGAATATTGTGTTTATTTAATTACGAATTGCTGAATTCGCATATTTTTTTATAAACTTAAAATTCAAAAAAAACGACATCGTAGGTATTTTTTGCAAGAATTTTAAGGTTACAAAAAAATATGCGACTTCAGCAATTTATTTGAATAAATACAATATTCACCTTAATGTTATTGGGTAGTTATAAATTGTTGAATTTCCATATTTTTTGGTAAACCAAAAATTATTGCTGGTATAACTAGTTTCCATGCTATTATAACAAATACTTTTTAGTTGCCACTGCTAAGCAAGAAGGCAAAGTCAACTAAGAAAATGAGTTGTCATCGATAATTATACTGGTTACACCAATACAAAATTATAGCTTGAATAACTCCGGACAACTATGAAATAATAGTTGCTGCAACAAGTTTTTAGGTTAAGAATAAATGTTTGCGGCTAACTAAAATATTAGTTGATATAACCTCGAAAGTCGTATGTCGTACGAACTAATTCATATTTGCCGTTGCAACTAAATTTTTGACCTGTCCTCTATGCTATCCATGCTTCTAGTTACATTTACTAAATGTTATGACAGCCTATTTTTTTCTCTCAGTGTACAATGACATTTTATCCCTCCTTAACATGCAAACTTTGGAACAAAGAAGAGATCAGCAAGACTTATGTATTCTATACAAAATCATAAATAATATCATAGAGTCCCCGGATTTGTTATCACTTATTGGTTTTCATGTACCTAGAAATTGTAATGTTAGAAGAAACAGACTATTTTATATCGAACATCCTCGAACTAATTATGGCTTAAATTCTCCCATCTCAAGATTCTGTAGATTGGCTAACAATGTCATTGGAAGAATGAACATAGATTTTTTTAATGTTAGTTTAAATTCCTTTAAAAAAAGAATTAAACATGTTTAATTTGCAACATCAATGTTAAGTCCGTATTACATCTGTGTATTTCTCCGTGTATTTCTACATGTATTTATACATGTATAAATTCATGAATTTCTTCACGAGATCAGCTGTTTCACATTCATGTTTTTTCAATAGCAAAAATACGCGAAATTTCAATTGTACCAACCTCTCTCAAAAGTACATATTTGTCACTTCAAATTGTCAAGTTTCAGTGTTCTGTGCTTCCAGTTTTTGCAGTGGCAATTTAATTTATTCGCGATTTCTTCATAAAATGTTAAATTCAAAACTGAAAAATAAGAAAAGAAAGGCAGCTTTACTTTGCATCATTGCAGCATGCTCCTTGCTGCTAAAGGAAGATGATTTGAAACCAAAACAAAGGCGTTGGTGGGTGAGGCCTTGGTTATTGAACAAAAAAATGGGAGGTTTAAGTTTAATTGATAGATTTAGAGATGATCCTGGCCAATTTAAGCAGTTTTTAAGACTGGATGAACACTGTTTTAGGAAACTTCTAAACCTAGTTAAACGCAGGCTCACCAAAAAGAAAACATTTTTCAGAGAATCAATTTCAGCTAAACAACAACTTATTGTCACACTAAGATTTTTGGCAACAGGCGAAACCTTCAGAAGTCTGATGTACGCTTTTAGAATTCATGAATCCACCATCTCATTATTTGTACCAAATGTGTGCCAGGCAATATATGACTCCCTCAAATCTGAATATTTGAAAGTAAGTGCCATTACCGAGACAATGAGTGATAATTAACTACATAGGTATAAATTGTGTGCATTTAAAGTTGATATATTAATTTCATTTTTATAATTTTTTAGATTCCTCGAGAGAAAGTAGACTGGTTGAAAGTTGCAAAGGACTTTGAAGACATATGGAACCTGCCGCATTGTATAGGAGCACTTGACGGAAAGCACATCTTGTTCAGACCCGCGCGTAGTGCTGGTTCAACTTTCTTTAATTATAAAGGACAAAATAGCATAGTTTTACTAGCTTTGGTAGATGCTCAATATAAATTTCTTTATGTAGATGTTGGCAAAAATGGTAGGATGTCTGATGGAGGTGTTTTTAGGGACAGCACTTTGGCTTTGGCCATTGATAGAAACACTTTGAAGTTTCCAGAAGACAAAAGTCTACCAGGAAGACATAAAAAAGTTCCTTACGTGTTTGTTGCAGATGCTGCTTTTCCCTTATCAGAAAGGATTTTAAAACCATTCCCATTCAGGGATATGACTGAGGAACAAAGGATTTTCAACTACAGACTCAGCAGAGCTAGAAGAGTAGTAGAAAATGCATTTGGAATATTGGCTAATCGGTTTAGAATTTTTTTGACAACCATTGACTTAAATGAAAGGAAAGTCGAGTTAATAACTTTGGCTTGCTGTGCACTACATAATTTTTTGAGAACAGATTGTCCAACATCTATTGCAGTGGATGAGTATGACAAAAATTATAAATCTATACATGCTTTGAGTGTCCAAGGTATGAATAGACCAAAAAATTCTGCAATTGATATAAGGAATGAATTTATGCAATATGTTAATAATGAAGGGGCTGTTGGTTGGCAAAATAATTTAGTTTAGACTGAGAAACTATGTTTTTTTTTTCCAAAGAATTCAATAAATGTTTGAGAATGACCTTTTAACTCAGAAAAAAAATGTTTCAAAAAGTATATTGATGAAATGATGTATAAATGATTAAAACTGATGATTCTGATCTTCGTCTTGTGCATCGAACAACAGTTGCGATATACTCCTCTTGAGTTTGTTAAGAATTTGAGGGCTCTTGATATTCCTCAATTCTGATCCAACCATTCTAAAAACATAAAATCATTACTAGGTGTATTGAACTAGTAACCAGGGCCGGTATTCTGGTCCTCGAAAACGCTCACCGCTTTTCAGTCGCTTGGACTTCTAATGTAAATTTGCATTAAAAGTGCCGAGCGACTTAAACGCGGTGAGAGTTTTCGGTAACGAGAATACCGGCCCAGTGCCCGCTCCAGCGTTTACGTCGCCCCGGACAAAAAGAAAAATTTTCGCCTCATTTACCGCCGATATGTTTTTTTCCTACAGCCGTGCGGAAAAATCGATTTTCCGCACTGATATGCGTGCGGAAAATGAGTTTTCCCGCACGGTGCGGTAAAACTATTTTTTTCGACATATCAGTGCGGAAAAAGCTTTTCAGCACGGCTGTCAGTGCGGAAATTTTTTTACCGCACTGATAGTCAAAAAACGCGTCCTTCGGTGAACGGCAGCCGCGTGCGGAAAAATTCATTTTCCCCACTTGTTAGGTAAATAGCTTTTCGTCAGAAATATGAATATTACTTTTTGCTTTTAGGCAAAAAGAGTGCGGAATGTGAATTGCAAGTTAACTTTCAACAATAGTTTGTCACATCACACCAAAAAGGCCGACTTTTATTTTTGCGGCCCCAGACAAAATAATGTCCGGGTCGTCCGTCCCTAGAGCGGGCCCTGTAGTAGCATACTGTGCAAAATTTCCAATATGGTCTAGTGCTTCCGTTGAAGTTTCCTGACCTAGCAATGAAGAAGCCTGTTGTAATAAACTCATAGTAGACTGATGTTTTTCTTCGTCATTTATTTTTCTTTTTTTTCTTTTATCAGAATAGCCAGGTTGGGAGCTAGATTCGCCATGAAAATGTGAAGCACTCGGTAAAGCCTGTGGAGTTGAAACTATTGGAACATTTTCAACATTGTCTTCAGACTCTAGTACTTCGAGATTGTCATTAAAAAAAATGTCCTGTAATAAATGATAACTTCAATATTATTAGTTGAAAAAGCAGTCCATGACTCAAAGTGGAGTTGAAATTTAATGTCCAGAGAAAACAATGTCTTCCTGCCCCGGTACATAGGTATCCACCTCATGATGTAAATAAATAATACATAAATTTACCGGTAACTCTTCAGAATCATCTATGTCTCGTGAATTTTCAGATTGTTCTTGAGAGCTCAAATTGGATGAGCTTTTCCTAGTTGTGGAACTATTACTCAAAAATTGCAATAAATCGAAGCACCACCAAGTAGGTTTGTAGACATATGTAGCGCCGGCTCCACTTCTTTTACTTTTATTAATTTTATTATTTTCATTAAAAAATTGGCTTCTGAGTCCATTTATTTATTTTTTTATATCGGCTTGGGTTAATAATGCTGCTTCTGGATGAATTTGAATAAATTCGTTCAGAATTTGTTTCAGCTTCATCTCTCTGTTCGTTTTATTTTTATATATTTCTTTGTGAACGTCATAAATATCTGGATACTTTTCATAGAGGCTAATTAAAGTTTTAGTTTTTTCTCTAGTGAAGTTCAATTGAAATTCCATCTATAAAATCAAGAAATTTTTATTTAAAGTACAACAGACACAAAAAGAGTACTCTATTTACCAAAAATGAAGGTATTTTCTAGTAGGTTTATAGGTATCAAACACATAACAACGGATGGTAAGGTACTTACAATTTTTGAAGGAACAGCGCCAGTTATAAACAGCAATAAGGTCGAAGGAATTGTTTGATTTGATTCCAGCTCAGATCGAACACAATCAATCACAAATTGACAAATAATTTGATATATAACCAGAAACCGCCAAAATTTAAAAAAGGTTATGAGTCGTCTGTTGGTAGGGTTGGTAGCACTAGAATACTCGAAAAAATACAATGTAATACGGGCTTTAATGGAACAGGTTTTATTGCTTGTATTTATACATGTATTAATTCAAGGTCAAATACACGGTAATATTTCCGCTTCACATTCGTGTATTTCTTCATGTATAAATACATGTAGAAATACATGTAGAAATACACAGATGTAATACGGACTTTAGTGTTGCAACAACTATTATTGCATTGTATTTTTTTAGTATCTTTCTGTTTTTGTTAATGGTCTTATTGTACACTCAGTGGGTTTTTACGATTTACCTAAAAAAAAAAAAAATTGTGATAAAGTAGCTTAAGAATAATCCTATTTTGCAATGTTCCTTGTTGTTTATTACTGTTTAAATTATTTACAATTTTTTTAAAAATTATTATTAGATATTGTTTTTGCAAACATTTCAAAATGACACTTGTCGTTAATAAAATATTTATTTATTTATTTATTTATTTATTAATTTATTTATTTGATTTAGGAACAAAATATATGCCAGTCTGGATTTTTTCTAAAATTTATCTCGTCTTTCTAACTTATAATTTGATTAAAAAACGAAAACGATTTTTAAACTAACCCTGTTGACGACCCCTATACTTAAATGAACTTTTTTCCCCAGTTCTACGAGGACCTACTCTGCTTTGTTTTGGTTCAAAAAAAGGACGGTTCTAGAACGGTTCAAAACAATCGCACAGTGCATCGATCAACAAAATGACAACGGCTCGGCTATCACAAATTTCAATAATAAACTGTACGATTGTTTTGAACCGTTCTAGAACCGTCCTTTTTTCAAACCAGAACAAAGCACCACCACCAACATCACCCCCCGATTTTTTTTACACCATTTCAATGATTCTGTATAGAGGCTTCCATAAGTATGTTATTTATGAAGGTGCATCCAGACCGGTGCAACAAACAACGCAAAAGTTTCACGAATATTTCGCGCTCGCGCTCGCGATTGTGCTGCACAAAAGTACATTCTTAAAAACAGTTTTTGTTGGAATTTCCTAGATGCAACTAACTGTTGCAAGTTTGACCGCGCTACCGTTCAAACTGAAATGTTCTGCAACGTTCGCGAATATTTTGCGTCATTTTGCGCTGTTTGTTGCACCGATCTGGATGCACCTTCAAACTTAATAATTTAAACATAATATTATTATGTACCTACTTACCAGGCAATATCTCCACCTCCTTAATGGTATCTGGCTTCTGGTGCAATAAATAGGACATAGGAATTTTTCCATTTATTTTTTTCAGTTCAGCTTTAAGCTTTAGCACACCGTCATCTTCTACGCGATACAAGCAGCTATTTCTTATGGGATTTCGTAGAGTACATTTAACCGGAGGTTTTTTGCGTTCTAGCTTTGTTGGTTTGTAGAACACAACAGTATCTACTTTCTCTGCTTGTATTGTCACTCCACGAGGTTTGTTCCATTCACATGGCCGAGAAGTTGCTGATACATCTTCTGATATGTGATTACCATTTCTAAGAGCTTGATCTTGTTAATAATACGCGAGTGCTACTGTGTGGCTACAAGACTCCGAGTTCCTGCCGGAAAAAAAAAGCATTAAACGAATGTTAGTTAATAAGCTATAAACTATTTTCAGCAATATGCGATATTAGTCAATAAGTAGGTACTCACCCAGCTTCACAGCTACAATGAGCTTCCACAACTTCTAAAGATTCATTATTTGCTGCAAAACTTAAATGAAGCGTATGAGGTTTTGCATTTTTTTTCATGCTTCTGTAACATTTGCCCTGGACAATGTAGTCTTTCGTATTCACATCATGAATATAATGTTCAACAAAAAATTTATACCTTCTTGTCCACGACTTAGTTTTCAAAAAGCGTTCAGCGAAACTAAAGTCGAAATTTTTAAATTTCTCAATATTTTTGTTAGACATCACGACTAATCACTGGCAGAATGCAAAATCATAAAAAATAACAAAGCAAAAACACGATATACACCACAGATTACCACAAATTATACACATAAAGATAAAAAACCGAGTAACTTATGAAACATTCAATTTTTTATTTTTTTTTGAATTTTTGATTGACAAATACGTTGCTCCTCGCGGTCCTCCTCCTCTCCTTTTTATCCCGTGCAAAAAAAAAGGACAGATAGATACGTAAGTCTAAAACGATTTGGTACATTTTGCCTCGTCTTGCGCAATGAGCGTTGCTGCGTCTTTTTTTATCTAATGAAGTTTTCGTATTATTTACCTTTGTCTGGTAAAATAGATAGGTCTATTAAAAGTACTAGAATTGAAGAACATTACAATAGTTTCAATAAAAAGAAAACAGATTCAAATTATGCAAATCACCTGATAGAATCAAATCATAATTTTAATAATGAATTTCAAATATTACATAATGAAAACAAAGGGATAAAATTAAATCTTCTAGAATCTTTAGAAATAAACAAACTTAAAACTTTAGACTATTTATTGAACGACCAATTAGATTTAAACAATTCACCACTTTTAAATTTATTTATATCCTACTGAACTATTAAAACCATATAATACCTTGGTTACGATAATCATAAACAGGGTCTTAACTCCCAAGGGAGTTAAGGATTTTCATAACTCCCAAGGGAGTTAAGGAAGGGAGTTAAGGATATCATAACTCCCAAGGGAGTTAAGGATTTCCATAACTCCCGCTTTTACCTTGAATAGGTAACACTTTGACAAAAAATAGAGATTTTGATTTATGGCTTATTCCTTTATAAAAATAGACAGAATACAGTAAATTCAGTAGGATATAAAATTATCTATATACCACGGGAATTATCAGGAGTTAATACCCACGGGCAATTAGTGTCCCTCGGGCCGGAGGCCCTCGGGACACAAACGTTGCCCTGGGGTATTAACACCTGCATAATTCCCTTGATACATAAATAACTATTACTGTATAATACCTATTTAAATTAATATAAAATTAGACCAGCTTTCACCTTTTTTTATATTTGTCAATTTCACTTTTATGTCTACGTTCTGTGATGTCTACATTTAATTTTTTTAAATCTTTCTGATGAAGCTAAAGTTTAGCGAAACATGTTAAAAGTTTAACAAAAAATAGTGGAAATATATAAGTATTGAAATTTACTTAAAAAATATTTTATTAGATAATGGATTTCTACCAAGTAAAAGCCGGTTCAATAAAAATAAAAATAATAAAACACAACGTTTCGCCATAACCATTTTATTCTCCTTCTTCAAAGACACTTGACGGTGACTTCCCCGTCTTTTACAGTATTGCCAAAGGCTAATAATAAATTAATAGGAGAAGTAACAAGGTAGACTAGTATAAATATGTAAAGGTTACAACAGTTCGGCCATCATGACACTTTGACCGACCTCGGTCAACAGCATAAAAATAAAATTCACAATCTCCAAACCCCTCTCATAACATGGGACGATTGCGCGCCTACCTCATTCTATGGAAACTATAAAAAATTGAAGGAAAACACATGATATGAAGAGGAAACATCTATTTTATTTTTTTCACAAACCTATTAGATACGCTGTTTATGAATTCGAAGGGCTTCTCCAGCGAACACATTGCCACAAACCTCTGTTTGTTTTATGATTTAGGCGGGGCGCTCACTGAAATAACGTGGCTTATGATGTGGCGTGTGATATAGCAAGTAGTACGCATAACGTTACGTGCCACTAAATGCATGTTACTTGCCTTCTCACTTCAGTGGGCTCTTGCTTATTGGTTTATGTTCGCTTGATTTGATGTAGCATGTTAGATGTGTGCTGTGTGCTGCTTGCTAGATCACACGCCACATCATAAGCCACGCTATTTCGGTGGGCGCCCTGTCCAAAAATTATATAACTAATTTTTAATTAATGGCGTGCTTGCAAATAAAAGCTTTTCCATCTCTTCAACTTCAGCTTGTGATTTCAGTGGCAGCGTTATTTGGTCAAAATCTTCATTGATACGAGCAGTTTCATATGTGCAGACTGTTTTGCTGGATTCATCACTTTTTTTTTGTAGTAATAACACCACTCCTGAAGTGAAGGAGTTGAGGCCACTAAAAGTGGATGGGAAATTCGGTTGCATATCATTAAGATCATTTTCGCAGGTTGCCGATAAAAACGGAGTGGTGTTGAAGGTCCTATTTTTTGTTGTGCTAAAAAAGGATTCCGCTCCGGTAGGATTAGGCTGATTTTTGCGGGCTAGTGAAGATGAAGTGTTGATGGTCAATTTTTTTGGCGTTCTGAGGAATACCACTCTGCTCGAATTAGGTTGAAGAAATGCTTCCTGTCCAATTTCCTGTACTGCTTTGTTTCCTGTTTGAAATTTAGGAACACAAGACTGTTCAACTGGAGCTAGAAATGGTGATCTGATAAAATAACCCTTTTTCTAACTGACCGGCTTTTTTTCGTTGTTTCGATGTCAGACTCATTATAACTTAAATCAGATTGGAGTTCCGCAAGCTTCAGTTTCGGTAGAGCAGAGTCGTGAGAATCTAAACCAGAACTTTATCTTAAAATATAGTAAAATCTCCAAGTTTAATTATTCTAAGATAGAAAAAAATTACCAATTACCCTAAGGTATCTAGTAGCTTTAGCATTAGAGAGCATCAGTAAACTTACCATAAATACCTAATAAATGTCACGTCTCGTTTTCTCTCGTGAGTTTTGATGCACAGTAAGTTAATTTCGTCTCCGAGGTCAAAAAAATGCAAAAATTGTAGTCTCGCTTATGTATTAAAATGTATTCTTGCTCATGTATTATTAGCTCAAAGGTTCTGCAGAATATTGAAATTTTCCAGTGGTGTGGACGTTGACGTACTTTTTTATTTTAAAAAAAGGTTCAGAATGCCAATGGAATAATCAAGCCTATTTAAAGGAAAATAGTTTCGATAAAATCGATTTTGTTTTTGTGATAAAATAGTATATACCGGGTGTTTTTAACAAAACCCGCCCACCCCTATAACTTTTTTATTGTTCAAAATAAACAAATGAAATTTGGTGTGTTTATGTATGAACCCGGATGTGCATGATTTGACGTATTCAATTATTTATTATCACTTTCAGTTTGACTGGAAATGAGACGCCAGATATATTTTTCCTTATTTCAATAGAAAACTACATTACGAGTACAACGACACCTCGTCTGTCACTTTTTGACATTTCATCTCCCAATTATTTAAATTTTTACTTTTTAATCTAGAGCGCCACGAATTAGTTAAAATGCTTAATTTTGCTCCAAGGAACCTGGAAAAAATTGTTTTGATCTTATTTTGTATTTTCTATCCTCAACAGATTCATTTAAAGAGAGTAGAAGCGCATTTTTGGAATTATATCAAATTTTTCAAATGGAAAGGGTATGGCTCATTAGCATATTCCGAGAGAGCATTTTCTAACGAACAATTTAGTACCACATAAGCGCTAGTTTATCCAAATATTGAACTAAGATTTTCCAAAAATATTTAGAATGCTAGGAAAATTCTTCATTTGAGTCATGAACTAGCGATTGTGTGGTACTGAATTGCTCGTTAGAAAACGCTCTTTTGGAATATTGCAATGAGCCACACCCTTTACATTTGAAAATATTGAGAAAATTACAAAAATGCACTTCTACTATTTTTTAATGAGTCTGTCGAGGATATAAAATACAAATGAAAAAAAACGAGGCAATGGTTCAAATTAGTTAAATTCCTATTGAAATAATTTTTAGGATATTGAGTAAATATGTAGATCCGTCATTTTCGTAATTGCCATTCTTATTATATTTGTTTAATTGAGAAACACTCAAAAGTCGGAGAGTTGTTTTAAATTCTCTTGTACTTGCCACTGGTTGCAATAATCGTATTCCAGAAAACGAATTTTCCAAAGCATCCTGTGGGAACCGGTCAAGACAGAGATAATAAAAGAAGTTCTTCAAAAAGTATTCTGCCAAATCGATTGCAATGGTAGTGGCGAGGTCATCCTCGTCCGGCTGGCACGGTTCCAAAAATGTTTTGCTCCTATTTGTAAATTGTAGAAAATTTGTTGATCCCCGTTTAAAAATTTTGAAATGCCCCTTTTGAGAATGTCATAACGGGTTTTCCATGTAAACACTTCCTCCTCAAGTGGTTTAAGATTTTTACCATCAGCGTCTTCATTTTCTATTTACCTAGAAATTTGGCAGTCTGGCATAATATGCGCTTTGTATTAAATTGTAATTTTTTAATTGAATTTATTTAAAATAAATAAACTTCTATTCGAAACTGGACACGAATCTTTTTCACAAGTGAAATAGAATTCGTGGCGATTCTCTTTCAAATGCAAACGGAAAATCTTAATTTCTAAAAATAAACGAGGTAATTTCTAAAGTAAAGCGAGTCAATGGTGAAATTAGTTGAATACCTGTTGAAAAAATTATACCCACCAGCCCAGCTAGCACACAAACATTCCAGGTATATTAATGGGAAGCCCGTACGGGATTTTAAACCTCGCATGCGATGTTCTATGAGAGTTTTATAAACATCCCTGCGACCGCCGAATGTCCGCAACAGCGGCAAGTTCATAGTACTTCCCATGAACGTTGCTAAACGATGTTCAGAAAATATATCAGTGCGAGTTTTCCACTACTTTCCATTAAAGTTCCATATAGAAGTTCATGTAACATAACCTATGAATGTTGATGGAACAACGCGATGCGAGTCCAACGCAACATTGTGTAATGGTTAGAAATAGAAGTCTATTAAACATTAAAATTAGATGTTCATAGAACCCCTGTATGTTACATAATCATGTTTATTGAACGTTAAATAACGCATTTTTTGGGCAGTGAAAAATTACAGCCGTATGTAACGTCCACTTTTAACTTTAAAAGCGCTTTTAAAACTAATCACTCTGAAAAATTTACATTCTAAGGGTGGGTATTATAAAACTATTTCAAC